AAATATATATAAAAGAAAAAAAATGAAATGCCTTGGCTTGGCCACTCTCTGGATAACAGGCAAACTCTTTTGTGTTGGACTTTTGTTACAAATTGAGCAGTCCAATTTTGGTTTTTTTCTCTATCTGAGATTGTATTATGGCACAAACAGATCAATTTATTATAGTCATTTTTACGTCCAGCCTCCAGAGTCACCCCTCCTTTTATCCAGTAGCTCACAATAGAGGAAATCAAAACAATGCAAGTATTTGATTTTTGTAGTAAATATGAATCTATATGATGATGTGTTACCAAAAATAGACACTTACTGCCATAAGGAGAGTTAGCTGAGGAGCCATTAAGAAATCCAGGGGAACCTGGTACACCTAGATTGGGCATGCCGGCATTGCCATATCCATTCATGCTATTGCTGACTGTGTTGTAATTGGACTGCTGAGGAGTACTGCTGGGAACATATCCTCGCGGGGAAACACTGCTTGTGTTGCGACTGTAACCTACTGTGTTAGAAACCCCCCCACCCCAAAAAGATCATGTTATTTTATAATATAGACTTAGGGCTGGGGGGTTTCCTCATGCAGCATATATTACACAGTTTTAATTGATTGCACAGCTTTGCTCTAAGTTGTCTCTTACTGCCCTATCAACTCTTGCAGTTTGAGATAACCTTATCACGCCAACCCTACTTAAATCATCTGCGAGCACTCTATGTTGTCTCTCCTCTTAGCACAGACAGCCAACAAAAGCTCTCTTCGATCCGGCTGTGTCAGGTGCCTTCACATTTGTCTTTAGGAGCAATTATCAACAGGCTCGAGTCCTGCTTTGTACCAACACACTGAATGAACTTTCAGCCTCTCCAGGCCTTCAAATGCCAGAGCTGACAAGAAAAACTTTTTTTTGACGCAGTGATTTACTTTAAAAGGCTGTTTTGGGGTCTTCATTTTATGATTGATATTTTTATACTAACAACAGGCTTGTACTTGCGTAAGGTGTAGCCATCAGTGGAAACTAATTCAAGATCAAGTTCAGAATTTTATAAGGCTTATTAGCTTGGAAATGCATTAAAAGACAATCTTTTTAGAAGAGGAAACATAGCAGAATCAGGATTTTAAACAACAATTTGTTCCTATCTGAGCAATCAATTTAATAATTATGTTGCAAGCAAAAAAATATGGGTTTGAGCAGAGCTAATAATCCTGTTTCCCTCCTTTCATTAGTATCAAAATTAATTTTAAATGCAATATGCCACATGCATTTTCAATTACAACAGGTAAATTAAATCAACTATTACTTTTATTAGTAACATATATGTCACACGTGCCTATAAACAAAGTATTTTAAAATCACAGACACCAAATTAGATTTATCTGTGTAAATATTCCAAAAGCAGGTGGAGATACCGAGACATAATTGTTCTCTAAAATAACACACACGTTGCATATTTACTGTGAATAATAAAGAGCTTTCTATGTTGGGTTTTTTTTTCCACTGGAGATGCTTTATGATAACAGTAAACGAAAGAACAGGAAGAATTAGGTATTATGAGAAAGTTAAAGGCAGCATTTCATTACGCGACCAGACATACGACTACGGGGAGAAAAAGAGGTAGAACACAGCAGTGACACCAGCTCGGATTAATAGGGACTGGCCAAAAGCAGGCAAGAATGTGAAGGATTAACTCTTGAAACGCCACCTACCTTGGTCGTTGGCTTGCGAGGTTTCGGACACATTGACGGCGAGCTGGCTGCTGAAGGAGTTGACTCCCATCATGCCGGTGTGAGCGGGAGTGTTGGCTAGAGTGGGGATCTGGTTGTGGTTGCGTGGCACGCTGTATAACGCCTCAGCAATGTCAGCTGCTCGTTTCAGGATGATTTCCTGCAAGGATATAAAATCAGAAGCTAATTGGCACAAATATTCCAATATTTGGAATATTGCAATATGGCAGTAACGTTAAAGATTCACAGATTGATGGGAACTTATAGGGAGGGTGGGGGTTTCGCTGCTTGTTTCAACTACACCTTCTGTTCTCCTTCCTACGTACCGGAGCACTTTGCAGTTTTGTGTCAACCCAGTTAAGTATCAAGAAATAAAGAAATTAACATAAGATTACAGCTTAGTGCTGCAAGTCATGTGAAAACAGTAACACACACACTTCATTCATCCAAGGCAGTAGATGTATTTTCAACAGTTTGCAAAACACAGTATGTTTTATCCGCTCTGTTTAGCAGATTTCTTTAGGACTTCCCATTAGTCACTGTATATTTTGGCCCGAGTTCAAGGTTATTCTCTTGCCTTAATGATTGCTTATGCTTTTGGCACCTTGCACTTAATTGTCATTTCTGATAGGCATACTGGCGGTGAGAAGAGAATGGGAAGATGAAGCGTTTCCCTCAGAGCATTGCATCACATCAGACTGCCCTCAAGGTGGCTGGCAAAGCCAGGCTGTGTCCAAAAAGAACAACGTGCTGGGGCTCTGCCAGCTTTGCAAAGAGCAGGTATTGATT